TTATACAAAAGCCAAACATATAACCTGATACGACATCACAAAATCATATTGATCAAGCACGAATCTCGAGGCACTTTCTCTTTTCTGTTTGTGTGCGAAATACTCGTGCAACGCTAGGACGCGAATTTACAAACTCTACCGCCGCGTATATTCTCGCACCCAACATAACCAAAACCTACTATTGCATTCAATGCAAAGATTTTCAATATGTTTGCTCTAATTTCAGTCCATATCAATCAACAATTAATAGTCTGTATGTATAATCAATACGAAATCTATAAAATTTATATCAATTAATAGTAAAGCTAATATAATCAGTAAATAGATTTATCAAATTATAAGGAAAATTGATAGAAAGTGGTGATCAATCAACATGCATGTCATGCTATATTATATCAGTATCAATGCAAATTCAATCAGTTTTATAGCAATTGCATCTATCAATTAATTCATATGCTATTATGTCAATAAAATCATGAATGTGATTACGAAATTAAGGCAGGAAATCTAACTTTAATGTGGTATTCTCATCCTTCCATCTCAACCGTCATCCATTTGGTTATCAGTCTTTAATTTAATCTTAATTATCGATCAGTTAATCATCGATCTTTATGTTATTATCATTATTCATTAACTTAAGTCAATTCATAGGTGACTTTTAAAAATTATTTAAGAGTTGTCATCCTCTACTTGTCAGTGTAATTCGGTCAATCAATTACATACTACAACTAAGATCACATTACAAACCTTTTATTTTAAAAAAAGTCCGTCGATCTCCCTCATATGTAAGGTATTATATTTTAAGAGATAACTCGTATTAGTTATATTATTAACAACCTGCAAGCTCCCTTACTTACATGCAAATGTCACATTTATCTTGAATCAATGATATAAGTCTTTTATTAATATATGAAATACAACTTGAAATGAAGGAATCTGTAAAGAAAATATAAAAAAATCTCTATAGTAGCAAACAACTTTAGAAAATCATAACTTTCATTTTACCAAATGAAATTCAATAAAATTATAGTCAAAAAGACATATGTATTATATTAACACGATAAAAGTACATAAAATCAAGTAAAAATATATTTTTATTATTTTTTGGGGAAATTAAATCAGTAGTTACAAAATTATTAAAAATAAAATTAGGTTTTAGGTTACAACGATCAGAAGACTTTTTCCAAATCGAAGCAATAGACATAAATGATCAAAACCTAGCTTTCTTTTTCTTCCCCTCTCTTCCACGACAAGTCACACAAAAGGGACGAAATGGCTTAGTGCTTTAGGTTTAGGATTTCATATATATATATATATATATATATAGGCCTAGCATCGCGGCTCTCAAACATCGCAACGTTGCATGTCGGTTCATGGTTCTACCACGTTTGAAATCCTTGCACTGTCTCATTAAATTATTTTCAAATTTTCCAAATATTAGGGGTTTGAAGCACCGAAATACTCAGTGCTACAGCGCTCCAATTTAATTTTAGAAATATCATATTTTTCATTTTAAAATAATTTTCATAATTATTAGGTTGTTAGAAGTTGCCCTTATATGAGGAGAATGACCGAGAAGACCATCTATCTTCTCTTGATGACAACTTTGATGTTAGGTTATCACCTCTCATTTTCAAAATGAATGTCATTCTATAATTCATGCATATATATTATATTGTATATTAATGCCTTGTGCAGCTATAAGAGGGGTATTCTTTGTAATATAACTAACTCATATTAGTACGATAATTTCAATTAGTTTAGGTTCCATGACTATTCACTTTTATGGATTTTTAATGAAAAAAATTAATACTTCTTATAAGATGCTCTTATTTTATCTATGCATGATCGTGTTATATTTTTGTTCAATAATAAGATGATAAACTTGAGCTCTTTACTGTCGTGAATCTTCCACACACACATATTTAATTTTTAAAGATTTAAACTCATACTACTGAAAAGATCTAAATTTGATTGAATTGAATCAATTAATTGAACGAGCAGTGTATATAATGGTCTTGCAATTGTTCTAAAACTTCTACAAGTTTTTTCGTGTCAGTTAAAATTGTCATGAAAGCCTATTCTAAGTGGGGGTACAAACAAGTCGAGTCGAGTTCGAGGCAGACCTTTTTTATAGTAATTTCATGGTTTGGATGAGTTCAAATCAAGATAAACAAGTTTAGCTTGGTTCAAACGTACTTTGATTGGATTGAGCCATTACGCTTGGCCCGTGCCTGGTGGTGTTGTTACGTTGGACTGGTTGGATGACTTATTATCTAGTTTGGCCTGTGGTTGTGAGCTGCATTGGTTGGTAGGCTTTGTGGATTATTATTTTCTTTCTTTGGTTATGTTTTGCTGGACCGTTGTTTCATATTTCAGCCTACGAGTTATGGTTTGTGGGCAATATTGATGTGGCTAGGGCTCACTTGCCTTAAGCCATGACTCGTGACAACCTTTGGTGGTGCGGTTCTTGCTCGTTTCGGATGGCTATTCTCTTACTCAAAACTGGATGACCCGTGCCTGGCTTTGGATTGGTTGGAAGCCTCTGCCAATTACTAAGCCCGATGGTTCTTAATTCATTTTGCTTTTTAGCTTGTTGTAAAAAAAAAAAAAACTTCATTTGATGTAAATTGTTAATTAAGATGCAAAGGTCGGTTAATTATAGTGTTATTATTGTGTTAGACTGGCGGTGCACATGCAAATGAGCCAATTATGACAAGGAGTGAAGGCGGCCGGGCATTAAGCCAAGAAATAAACACAGAGCGATTCAGTAATCACACGTATAAGAAGAAAAGGAATAAAAGGCTCCCATCATCCAAGTGGGTCTTTCCCCCTCCATGTGCATTCATGTGGTGGGTTGCTCTCCTTTGGGTCCACCCTCCAACCTTTGATTGATTCCTCTCTCTCTCTCTCTCTCTCTCTCTCCATCATCTTCAATTAATGCTTCTTATGTATTAATGACTAGCAAACTAACCCCCTAGCTACTAATTGATTATATTTCATTTTTCTCTATCTACTACAAATGGAGATTGCCATGAGCAAGTGTTGCATTTTACGTTGTCAAAGTGTCAAATCAGTACTAATTAAGCACTTTATTTGAATTGATATCTGTGGTTGATATGGAACATTGTAAAGTAAACAGATAAAAAAATCCACCAAGACAATTTCACCATGATGAAGCTTATAATAAGAAGAAGCAATGCATAGCGTATGTGAGAAGATTTTTCTTGGGTTTGAGTGTCAACGCATAACATTCATAGACATTTCATATCATTATTAGAATTCGTGAATTATGAGAGGAGAGCATAAATATACCATCCACGAGACCACGTACGAGTTGAAGAAGGAGCATGTACTTGAAAAGATTGATGCATGCATATGCAATTGAATAATAAATATAAAATGAAGTATATACAATGTTGGGGATGAGGAGTAACACCAAAATGAAGAAAAAAAGAAAGAAAGTAAAATAAAAAATAAAGGACATTAGATTTTAATGTGAAAAATTTTAAAATTAGGAAAAAAATCATAGAGTCGCACCACACCAACAAATGCAATATGAAAATTGGGAGAAATAAGTACAGATCTTTCTTCTCTCTTGCTCTCTCCTTGTTTCACTTCTCACATGCACCGTTCTCTATGCCTACCATGCCAAAAAAAAAAGAAGAAGAGAAAGACGAGTAAAATAATCCCAAGGGACGCAACCATTCAGAAAAACGAGAAAGAGAATTTTCCAGTCCATCTCGCTATGCTACAACTCCAGTTTGTAGCGCTATACGGCTCTTGAATCTCCATCTTGATCAGTTGCGGCGTCGTATCTAGACCTCTATGATGCTTCTCTCTATCGTTCAGCACTGGGCTGCTCAGGAACACAACACTGGAGTGCTCGGGTAAGTAGCGCTAGAGCGCTATGATACACAACGTCAGGGCATTGTGCAAAAGAAAAAAAATTTCGGGTGCAAGTAGAAGGTAAACTAACCCCCCACACCCCCAAGAGAACATGAGAAACTTGAGGTCTGAGATAACAAAATAACCTGATTGATCAACACAATCAGATTTCAAATGATTTTCTTGAAATTTTTATGGTAAATATGATTTACAACTGTACAAAGGATTGCCTTTTCATCACTCTTACATGATAACATATATAAAAAATAATCTATTTCCCAATACGTTTATATATTAATATATTATCAAATTTTGAAATAAAACATACAAAATGAACAGATATTTTGAAAATATACTAACTTTGTACAAATAAAAAACTACATAAAAGTATTCATCTAAAAGGGCATTAAAGCTTTTTTGAAGTAACAATCTTAAAGAACAATTAATGTTTCCTACTCCCATAAAATCAATATATATTAACACATATGCTTATGTAGAGAGAGAGAGAGAGAGAGAGAGAGAGAGAGAGAGAGAGAGAGAGAGAGAGAGAGAGGATTTACAGCCTAATTGGGACTTTCTAAATGTGAGAGGTAGGGCTGTAATGAATTTTGTGAAATATAATTGTAATTCTTATAGAGTGTAGATCCTGCACTGCTCAATTCTTTTCCCCAAAAATTAAAATTTTGAAGTACAGAAAACATAATAAAAATTATGAACATGTTAATAGAAGAATATTATTTCATTTTAATATCTAACATTTTTATTTTAATATTCATTACCAATATGTTAATTAAGTTGTTAACAAGTTGATACAAATTTTTTATTACTTTCTAAAATAACTTTCTAGTATAAAAATTTAATTCTTGAATTAAAAAATTTTATACTAAAAAATCGTATTAAAAAGCAGTACAAAAGCTGTCCGAAACTAAACCTTAATCATGTAGAAGAAATTTTTTTTTTTTATCATGTAGAAATTTTATACATAATAAAGCGGTGTTTAGTCAATTATAAATAGGCTAATAAAAAAAATATAATAAGGTGGTGGGTCAAAATCACATCTATTCATATTATATATCTTAATTAGAGATAATAGTTAAATAATATTGAGTTGAGTGGGTAAAGGAGGCATTTTTTATCAATCCTGCAATATATTCCTTCTCCCTTCCTTCCTCTTCATTCTAAAAGGAAGCTTCTGATTTGGTCTTCAACTCCTGTGTCAGTTCTCACAGTCTCCTGCCGTGCACCTTCTCTCTCTCCCTCTCTCTCTCTCTCTCTCTCTCATGAAGCAAAACAAGAATACATCGTCAAACAATAGCCCTAGAAAGGCTTCCATGCAGACTTACCATTTTCTTCGATCCCTTACCCACATAAACCTCACAAGGCCCTCTTCGCCTCTCCACCGCCGTAGCAGAGCTATAAGGAGAGCAGCTTACGTTTCCATGGCACGCGCAGCAAGCCCACGGAGGATGTGGACCCGTGCCATCCTCGGCCGGCTTCAGCTTCTTCGACGTGCTAGGCTTCTACGACGCAGGAGGAATTACAAGAAAAAAACAACAATTAGCACACCTCATGATAAGCTACGTAGACTCGTGCCAGGTGGTGAGGAGATGGATTTCTGTAGACTGCTCGAGGAGACTGCAGACTATGCAGAGTTCCTCAGTAAGCAGGTCAGGATCATGAGGTCTGTAGTTGATTTTATGGAAGCTGAATGCAGGAAAAAAGAGGAGAAGGTTTAGAAGATGATTGCATGGTAATATTCATTATCAGATTTGGATTCTCTTCCTATTATGACGGTCAAATCCAGCCATCTAATTTATTGTGGATGGCTGGATTGAAATCTGTCATACTGCTCCAAAATCAAGATGATCTTGAATTAGTAAAGTTCAGTTAAATTCAATCATCTAAGTTGAATTGGATGACTGGGTTTGGTAACTGGCCGAGTTACTTAATAATTGGAAAGGATACAGATTCATTGATGATGAGATTTGATAGTAAAGTTTCGTTTGAAACGTTTTTTTTTTTATTTCTTAAAACAACTTTTTAGTTTGAAAATTAAAATTTTTATACTAGAAAGATGTTTTAAAAAACAGTAAGAAAATAGTCTCAAACGAAGCCTAAGTTTATATATATTGACACACACTTTAATTTGCATGGCTTGTAAATTAAAAATTTGTGATCTTGAACATTTTTAATACTTTAGGAAGGTAAACCTTTGCTCATCCTTATACACATCGATCTTTGAATCCGTTAGTTTGTTAATATATAGTTAGTCTTTTTTATTAGTGTTGCAGGCGCTAAAGATTAGCAGCTTAGAACATTCTTCTCAAATTTTGAAAGGAAAAACTAATTAAAACATTTATAAACAACTGGTTTTACATGGTAAAACAATTTGTCTAACAAAATCTGATGAGCAGATGCTAAGGTAGGGGTTTTAATTTGTGTTTGCAGATGAGTTAGAATCTTTAATGGAAATTGAAGGATCCAATTTTAGGGTATAAAATTTCCTATCAATAGATCAAAATGAGCTACCTACGGTGTTAGAACGTAAACTAATAGGCGTTTGTTAATTTGGTCTTTATTAGCCTAAATATCATAATACATAGTTAAGGAGCATATAACTAAGGTATAAATTGTAGTTTTACAGTTTCTGGCTTATTAATTGTGTACATGCATGCTTCTTTATCTTTTTTTTTTAATTAGTTATTTGTTATATATAAATCTGATTGGTAGGCATTTTCATTCAGATTAGAACTCTGGAATATTAGATTCAATATTGAAAATAGAATGGATATATTCTGATTTAATTGAACTAGTGAGTTACTTGTTTATAGTCAAAGGTTTATTTGGGACGTATGTAGCTTTTTGTAAAAGTGGTTGTGAGAAAATTAACATTTTTAAAAACTGCTATTTTATAGCACATAAATTTCTTAAGAGTAATGAAAAAATAATGCCCAAATAAAAATCATGATTACGTCCTAAATAATAAAATAATAAAAATATTATCTTAAACTGACTCTTAGGCTCGTTCGGGACGACAATTTTCTTACTGTTTTTTAAAACAGTTTTCAAGTATAAAAAAATCTTAGTACTAAAAGTTGTTTTAGAAAATAATAAGAAAACTATCCCAAACAAAGCCCTTCGTTTGGGACAGCTTTTGAGTACAACAATTTCGTGAATTAAAAACTTTTATATTAGAAAATCATTTTAGAAAGCAGCGAAAAAAACTGCCTCAAACGAAGCCTAAGTCTCGCTTGAATCAAAATCTAACATCCTCCAACTTTTTCTCATAAATTATAAAAAAATTATTAACTTTTATAAAAATAACAGAAACAAAGTGGATAGAAGTCGAACAAAAAAAAAAAAAAAAGATTTCTATTTTCTACAGAATATTTTAATATCTCATGCATGTCATGCTCAACAGGTCTCAAATGCCTTCAAGCGTGTCATGTTCACCAGGTCTCAAATTCAAGATCAGTACGTGTACGTTGAAAATTATTATCTCCATTTATGCATAAATTCTTGCCTATAAAATGTTTATAATTAAGGAAAGCTAATTGACATCTTGATCACCTTTCAAAACCCTCTAAGGCAAGAGCTAAGTAGCTGCTTATGTCTTGTGGATACAAAGTAGAAATATTAATTGATTGTTTACATTAACAAAATTAACTAGCAGTTGAAATGTCAGCATAGAGCTTTTAAATTAGAGTAATCAACATTTTTTTTAACAAAAACAACAAATTCATTAATAATGAAAAGATACAAAAGAAGACCACATATAAGACCACATCAGAAGCTTATTACATGAAGAACAACAAAACAAAGAAAAGATCAAAAGATTAAGGGTCGAAAGACTCGGACTCAGACCAACTTCGGGTTGCCAGGACGGGGCCATCCACTGGTAAATACAAAATCGAAAGAGAAGGGCCAACTAGGTTGCCAACCAACCCTGGCCATCCACGATGCTTGCAGCACCGTTGCTTCCTCATCATCCATATCAACACATTTAGCACGATCAACCAACAGACCAAAAAGGCAACCCATCAATAGATAATCCACAAGATCAGCAACCCAAAACAAAACCAAAGCAGCTAACATCAATCAGCCAACACGCCGGCCCCGACCACGAGACCTACCACGAGAGGAAATAGAAACAAGAGGTTTGTCTCGCAACAAATTAAAAGAATTACCAGGATCATCATCTTCAATTGATTGCACATAATCAGAATCAGACTCTGAATTATAATCATGAAGCCAGTCCAGGTGGACCCGAAGATCCAAGCCCGAATTATCCTTCGCATTATACATTAATCTATGAGGATCCATAAAATTAACATGAACGTCTACAACACCATTAATCACTAAGCGATCATTACGAGTTCGACTAGAGTCACCAGAAACAGCCACCTTACATACATCCTCACCCAAATTATCCACGATAGCAGGCATTACCGAGCAATCCAAGTCCTCAGAAATTAAAGCATGATCAACCAAAACAGAGGGGGCATACCTCACAGACACCAAAGGAGCCTCACGAGGAAGGTCCTCAACACTATGACAATCACGATTGGAGGCCAAATTCTTACCCAAAGGAATAAAAGGTTGAGTGTCAAGGGATAAAATAGTAGCAAACTCAACATCTCTAGAAACGCTAACCACCTCAGTTTCCACTTCAATAACCACATTTTCCAAACCAACCAAAACAGGGGAATCACAAACAGATACATGAGCACAAACAAGATGACCTAAACTAACAATAGCATTAGGCACAGCGAAATTACCACAATCCAAACTCAACATCGCAGGAACGACGTCAGTAGGAAATGCAGTCGGTAAATAACATTCTACAGAAACAGGAGCCACCTCAACAACAGGCGGCACATCCACGACAGCAAGCCCCAATACAGAAGGCTTAGAGGGGTCAGCACTCGCAACATCACAATTTGACTTACAACCACTTCGAACATGGCCAAAAGATTGGCAAAGATCACAGAACGGGGGAAAGGCCTCCATTTCAACCTTTTGAATATATCCAAGCTTTTTAGGGCCAATCCATACAGAATCCAGAAATTTTTTCGTTATGTCAAACTCAACCAGAACTCTCGCAATAGAAGGCCTAGACCCTAACGAAGTCGCAGAATCAACCTTCAGCGGCTGTCAAAAAAATGAGCCTAAGGAATGAAGAATCCTCGGGGTAAGAAGATGAGGACGAAGCCCCGGGAAGGAGATCCAAATAGGAATAATCGAGCATTCAACAGAGATGTCCAAAGTCAGGGTCCATTTAGTTAGTTTCATGTAGCAATTATAGACAAGGTATGAACCATGGCTGAATACCCGGCTTTAATCAAGGTCATTAGAAAGCTTCACCAAAATGTGAGAAGAATCCAAAACCGTGATAGAGCACTCTGCTAATAGTTTAAGATTAGCAAAGAACATCCTAATAGAGTCAAGACTCGGACGACGAGAAGGAAAGAAACCGACAAGCGAGAAACGGAAAGGAATAGCCAGTGCCCTAATTTCGTCCTTGGAAATCCATAAGGAAGGCAGTCCACGAAAAGACGAAGGAGTAAGTTCCGAAAAATCTCCATTAGGAGAGGAAACCGCTAAAGCATCGACAAAAGAACGAGGAAACTTAGAACCAGATAAAAAACCCCCGTCCAACAGACACGAGGGCGCCATGCCAGCCTCAACAACCAGCACAAAAGAGAAAACCAACAGAAAAAGAGGGAAGAAGGACTTCCCTGTACCAGAAAGCGGCGAAGGCCGCCTCCAGGATGCACCAGGCGAACCCTAGGACGCGAGCGCTGGGGAGAGGAAGTAACGAAACTTATATTAAATTGAAATTAGAGTAATCAACATGAATGCTATTATTAATTACTAATATTAACATGTAACAGAAAAAGTCTAATCATAATTATCGTTTGTTGTAGTTAGTAGTAGTTGCTTTTGCTAATCTTTATAGTCTTATTTACTCGATAAGATCATATACAAATGATCAATATTTTACTTTGTCTAATCTTTATCAGATAATGCTTCGTTAGGACGATTTTTTTATTGTTTTTTAGAATAGAGTTGTAATAAAAAAATTAAAATTTCATATATGAACTGTCTCTATCAGTCATATCAAAAGTTCTTCAAAAGATGATTTCGATTAAACAAGAAGATAAATATGTTTACAAACTGTAGCCATTTTCAAATTACTTTCCGTTAAATCGTTCCTGTTAATATTAAATTTAGGTTTCGTTTGGGACGAATTTCTTACAGTTTTTTAAAGCAGCTTTTTAATATAAAAGTTAAAATTTTTGTACTAAAAAAATATTTTAAGAAACGGTAAAAAAGCCATACCAAACGAAGCCTTAGAGTACATTTGAAGCTTTTTTATTGTGAAATATAAGAGAGATTAGATTTTTAGGAGAATTCATCTATATGATTTGATCAGCTTTGTTACGTGCTAAAAAATTTATAATGATTGAGTTGAAGTTCAGCATTTTAGTATCGTGCAAAAAACTAGCATGTACAAAAAAATTTGTTGGAATTGAGATTTTTTTGCATGGAAGACCTGGAAAAATTAAAAAATCATAGGGCTTGGCAAGGTCAAGCTATGCAAAGAAAAATTAACTGATGCATTTTGATAAATTTGAGCATAATTCAAAGCAATCCATTATATGGCCCATATTGATCTCCTTGATTGTAGATCATTTATCAAATATTTGAATGCTTAAAGATGTCATAATTGAATGGTCCTCGCCTAGTTTGATTCATCTCGTCGAGTTGCCCGATTTGATTATAAGCATGTTATAATCGGAAATTATCATATTCATCAATTTACAATAAATATTTTCAAACATAATTCAAGTGTTGGATTTGAGCACATTTGGTGTTAGATTGGATCATTTGTAGCGTCAGTAAATTCATCTTATCGAGACAATCAGTTTGACTATAAATGTGTTGAAATCAAACTTCAGATGATCCTGAATTTAATTTCAAAAATTCAAATAATACCTTGAGATTCATGTGATCATATGAATTTCCTAGAATGTGCCAACTCTTATTTTTATTGACATATTTG